TTCATGGCTAATCTTCTGGGAACGTAAACACCTTCAGATTTCTTGTCCTTTCAAGAAGGGAGGCCAAAGGGAGGACTGGCAGCAGTTGGGAACCCTGCCTGCATACTAAATTGTGCAGGAGCAGAAGCAAACTGGAGTCAGTGGGCAAGAAGCTTGCTTTTCCACGGCAGTGCCTGCAGTCACGCTGCCTACTGGTGCAATTCCAGTAACAAATTAAATCTGCTTCCCTGTCTTTATCCTTTCTACTGACAGCTCTCTCAGCAGCCATAAGAAATGAAGTTGGTCAAGTCTTCCTGTTAGAACAGCTGCCTTAGGGTCTGCAAAACTTAAATTGGTGGCAAAAAGTTGGTGTTTATATGTGAACGGCATTTTCTCCAAAGAAGCGGAGTAGTACTTGTTTATGGGATGGGCTGGTAGCCATGGGAAGAAAGAGTGAGGGAGGTGGAATTGGCTCCTACCCAGCATCAATTTGTCTTGACTCAGCTGTTTTTCTAATCATGTCAAAGCCAGAAACAGACTCATCTGCCATTCAAACCCAGGCCCAGAGAGATGATTCAGGGCTGAGAACTTGGCCCTGCTGCAGAAGTGAGGTAGGATCCTGCACAAGAACATCATCACATGCACTGTGGACTGGTATGTAGTTTAGAGAGCAAAACACAGTATTTTTTACGATTTGGGGAAAAATTTTGCAAATAAAAATGTGAGAGATTAATAGTCCTGGCACAGAGCAGGAACAAGGATATAGAATGCAGTTTTCAATTTATTGTAGTCGAGAAAATACAATAAACAATAGAATTATGCAGGAATAAAGTCTAAGCCTATAAGGAAAGAATGGGCACTTGATTTTATGATTTTTCAGAAGACAAAAAGTAAATCCCCAATGTTATATTAAAGTAGAATCAGACACTATAAGTTTTACATATATGGTCTTAAAAGTAAAAATGCATAAATTCAAGAATAAGAGTAAGGTATAAATTCAAGATACTCAGTTTGGGAAACTAAGGTACAAAAAGGAGTGACTAAAAGGGACTCAGGGGCAATTATGATTGTCCAGAGAAACATTGTGTGCATATGCTACAGACACCACGAGTTGCAGTAATAAAATTGATAGTACTTTTTCTCTGGGTTGGCTGCTAAAAAACTGAACCACATTTGTGTTCCATTTTATGTTGCGATATATTATTCTCACAATTAACAATATCACAATGCAGAGTCACTGAGAATATTAGAAATAGTAACCATAGCTCTTATTATTCTTATTGTTATTATTGACCAAAGTTTAAACAAAAATTTTTTGATACATTTGTTATGTGCCAAATAATAGCTTCATGTGCAATTCATCAAAACTTTGGAGAAGGGGGTCATGGCAAAGGTTCTAATGATCCAGGCTGGCTCCATGGAGTCTGGCTTTGCCTGACCAAGTAAGAGTGTGAGACAAGATTAGATATTGTGTGGTTTCTCTTATATGAGAAACCAAAAATATAAATAATTTAAAGAATAAGAATAAGGCAGATCTTTTGTAAATGGGAAGGAGACCAAGAGATGGAGGGAAGGAGAAGGGAGAGAAAGAGAAGGCGAATTAAAAAAATGGTGATGCGTTATGTCCATGTACCAATTCTCTGCCATAAATGTAACTATTATGAATTGCAAACAAGTAGTAATACTTTCTTTCAAACCATAAGAACAAAGTGTGTGAGATGCCATCGATAGTCTCTGTATCAGTGAGTGAATACTAATCTTTCAGAACTAATCTTATTTTGTATATCTCAATTATATTATGTCAGCTTCCCTTCCCTTCTCTCCCCTCCTCCCTTTCCTTTTTTTTTCTTTTGTGGTATTGGGGATGGAACCCAGGGTCTTTGCGCTGAACTATGTCCACAGCCATTGACTGATTGATTGTCTCTAAATTGCCTAGGATGGCTTCAATTTTGCAATCCTCTTTCCTCAGGGACTAGCATCATGTTGGTTCTCCTTTCCTCCCTCCCTCCCTTCCTCCTTTCCTTTTTCTTTCTTTCTTTCTTCTTTCTTTCTCTCTCTCTTTCTTTCTTTCTTTCTTTCTTTCTTTCTTTCTTTCTTTCTTTCTTTCTTTCTTTCTTTCATTTTATGCTTCACATATCGTTGAAATTGCCTCAAGGCTCCCTTTTGAAATTATTACATATTTTAAGAGCTGCTTGCCTAACGGTCAGGGGTTGGACGGCCTTCCTTCCTGCCCTGTGGGGTTGCCCCCTTCATAAGCTATAGCATAAACATTGGAGAGTCCTCACTAACTGATTTACCATTAGTTTCAATTTACCCAGATGAACATATGGATGTGTGCAACGCACACAAGAGTAATACATAACATGATATGTGAGTTGCCATATGGACGCACCCACGGAAGACCGTGATCTGCCAGTTTTCTGCAGAGGAGGAATGTGAGGAGGGTGTGGGGCGGGATGGCTGGGAGAGCTGGAAGCAGAGGGAGCAAGAGGCCGCCCTAGCCCCAGACTTGACATGGGCCTCCCAAGAGGCCATCGTGGCTACACGTGCTGGGTGGGGCAGCTTCTCTGTGCTCTCTCTCACCCTCTTCTCAGCCATTCTGTGTCTCAGGAACCCTGTCTGCCTAACTCCCAGCCTCTGTACTTCTGTCTGTGACTGCAGTCCCGGGGGCTGCATTTCAGCACAGTTCCCGGTCTCAGCACTAACGCGCACCCACCACAGGAATCCCCAGCCACACTCTCACTACACTGATGAGACCTAGGCGGAAGCTGCTAGTGGCTTCTGGGCAGAAGCAGATTTGCAGGACCATCAAGAGGCTTAGCATCAGCACTGCTCAGGTGTGTGGGCTTCTCCAAAGTCCCTAATTCTGCCTTCCAATTATTATTCCTTTCTTAAAGAGAAATCCTCCTTTAGCTAAAGCTCATAATCTTCAGAGTCCCACAAAACATGCTTCTATTCCAACATATGTATCTCCTAAGATATATATCTTGCTCCCTGAGAAAAGTAGGGGACATACAGAGAGAAATGCAAACATTTCTTGCTTTGAGAAGTTCTGAGGGGATGTGATGTTTGGAGCTGCAGCAGGCACTGTATGACTTCAAAAGGAATGGCAAGTGAATTGCTGTACAGTTGATGCTGGGACTTGCTGTCATTAAAATGCTGGATGAAGCAGCTCTGGAACTGCCCACCTCCAGACCACTTGTTAAGCAGAGAGTAAATCTTGAGTATTTAAGCCATTATTTAAATGGTCTATGACTTATCGCCAAGAACATCTTAACTGACATCCCTAAGTCTCTCATCATTGTTTTTTAGTCAGTCTATGGAAGGGTGTACATCTTGCTGGGTGTTTCACTACTAAGACGACTTCGGGTGCTATCTGGAGCAGCTTCATCAGTGCCTGTCTTACCCTCCTGGAAGGACCCGAGGCCTTTGCCGCTGGAGTGGATAGGGCACCTCACCTGTAGTCCAGCACCTCATGGTGACCTCTGGCTCACCACTCCCTTCCGTAAGCCTGTTTCCCACCTAAACACCCCAAATCACACTGCATTTTACCATCTCCCTCGCTACCAGGAACCAACTCCCAGTGCAGTTGACTTTAGCTAAACATGAGAAAACAAACAACAGATACATACGTAGTCACTCTAAGACAGGAGTGGCAACTATCTTGGCTTAATCCTCATAACCCATTAACTTTTAAAAATTCAATGTAATTCCACTAGAATGTTATAAAATGAAAGAAACTTAAAAAGAAAGCTTTCTGTTGAACTTGGAAGGCTGGATTTACGGACCCAAGTCGGAGAGGCATGTACCCAGGTGGCACACTGGCCGCCTGCATGTTCAGTGTGAGGCCTGGAGGAAACCGAGCTACACAGCCCTGCAGGAGCCTAAATAATCTCACTCTGAATGAACTTTGAGCAGGGGGGTCAGGGGAAAAGAAGCCTTTTGGCTTTTGGAGGAGACAGTGCTCATGGGCACAGTGCTCTAGATGCCTCTGTTCTTCTGAGAGCACATAGGAATGGTTCAGCCTACTGGATGACTGAGACTTAATCCTAGAGCCCCCAGTTTTCCATGCCCAGGTTTCTGGTCATCCATTCATTCACCCATCAGTATGCCTTCGATGGTCACCTGCTCTCTGTCTAGTGGGTCACCAAATCATCTCACATCTTATACATGCTGGCCTCAACCCACTACTCTTTTTTTTTTTTTTTTGGTTTTTCTCCGGTACCGGGAACCGAACTCACGACCTTGCGCGTGCCAGGCAGACGCTTTTGCCGCTGAGCTAAACCCCCAGCCCCTCTCAACCCACTACTCTTATTTGCTGCTCTTTTTATTCATTTATTTTTCTAGTAGTCTGATCTAAGTGCAACTCACTTTGAGATGCCTCTAAAATAGCCCACAGCCTCTTCAGGAATAGATTTGGCAAGTGGCCTGACCAGAGATTCCCCTGAAGGGGGCAGCTTCTGTCTTGGCTCCAAATTCGAAGATTCCAGAGCCGGATGAGCTCCAGTCCAGGCAGACAAGGAGGGAGCTGTGGAGTTATTCAGACCTGAGGCAATTAGGGTTCAGGTCAGAAATGCAAGGTAATCTCCTTTGTAAAATCAAGCTGACAAACTAGGGACTTGGATCTACAGAGTTCTGTTTGCCAAACATTTCTCTTAGAGGGGAAAGCAAAGTTGAGCCTCTCCTTGCCTTGCACTGCCATAAGCAATTGCTTTGGTTCACAATAACTGTTCCACTTTCAACTGAACAGGTTACATTGTAAGCCTGGGAAACTGAGTTAAGGCCCATTTGTTGAAATACAGGGAGTCTGAAGCCACTGAGTCTAGACCATGGCTCTGGGTTTGTGTCCACACAGCTACCTGATCAAGCCTTTCTCATTCCCTAAAGAAGGACACAATGCAATAAGTGGCACCCAGGTGAAAAGAATCTCTTAGGTATAGAAGTGGAGTGATTATTATTTGTCTCTGGACTATTTGATAGAGTTTGTATAATGGAGAAACCATCATAGATTTTATAATTACCTCTGTGATGAACCAGCCTTCATCCGCCACTAAAGTCAAGGGAGAGACGAATTTCCCTTTCTTGTAATAGAATCTGCCTGGTATGGCTTCTTTCTCGTAGACAGTCATATGCTCCACTCTGCTCAGTTTGTTATAAATCTGTAAAGGAAACCAAGAATGACCAATTTTACACTCTTTTTAAAAATGTACATTGAAGACCAGAAAAAGAATTTATCAAAATCTGATAGATTTGACTATAAAAAAGTAAAAGACTTCTCTATAGCCCAGAAAACAAGCTGGCTTTATCCTAAGCCCAGAGATTCACTTATCTTCTGAACCAGGCCCTAGGAAAACAGTGAAAATCCATCACACATATGCACCTATAGACATACAGAATATCTCAGTGCAAGGGGTAAAGAAATCCTGGAGGGATTCTTTAATGGAGTACTATACTGCAGCGAAGATGAGAAGATCACAGCTACAAGGGCACATGGAAGAATATTGGAGACCACTTGTGGAGGAAAAATAATGTAAATTGCTGAAAAATATACAGAAATGTTGCTATTATATAAAGTTCAAGTAACTACAAAACCAAATCATATATATATATATATATATATATATATATATATATATATATAGTAAAACTATAAGGAGAATTATGAAAATGAAAACTTAAAATTTAGGACAGTGTGTTTTTCATAGATGGCAAAAAAGTTTATGGGGTCTGGGAAGAACACCCAGAAGAGGTCACAGGTTATGGCAATGTCCTACTTCTTAACCTTCTAGTGAATATTAGGAGACCATTACAACATTATCCTTGATACCTCACAAATGTTATAATAATTCTTTTGTATATATCCAATCACTAACTGACATACTGCAGTGATGCATTTATGTCAAAGACAATATACCAAAATTAAAAAGCAAATAAGAAATTGGTCTGCCTGCTGTTAAATACCACGAAGGCCAAAGCAAAAAGATATTCTTTGACTTGACCTAGAGAGTGTGTCCTACCTGCATGTGAATCTTGAAAGCACTAGTAATTGTTTATCAACTATATTGTTAATTTTATGACACTTTGTAAGTACTTCTAACATTTAGCAGCTGCTTAAGTATTTACGGCTAAAATGAAAATCAGCTGGCTCATGTTGACTTGCTGGCCTTTAGCCAAATCATATGTTCTTAGGTATAACTGAAAATAAAATTGAATTTATCAAATTGCTTGTGAGATATATCTTGTCTTTAGATTGTTTAATAAAAGATTTCTCATGGGTCCATGAGTTAAGATTTCCCTCTTAAGAAAATCCAGAGTTCTTAAGGGAAGTAGGGTACATTTGCAGAAAGGTTTTGGATAAATGAAAAGTCTATTGAAAACACAACAGGTCTCACAAACTGTTGTGTCAGTCACGTGACAAACTGTCACCCAAACAGAGCCCCCTCTTTTGAATCATACACCAACTGCTGTAGGCTGCGAGCAATGCTCGACTTAAACATCACGTTGGAAGAAGCTCTCCCCAGCATGTGGGCTGCGGGTGCCCAGGCATTCTGGAGGCAGCACAGTCCTCGGTGCCAAGTTGGAGACAAAGATGTTGTTCCTTGCCAGGGAAACAGAACTTCTTCTCGTGAACCTGCCAACATATAAAATACTCTTCCTGACTTCATCTTCAGTGAGCCCGTGGGGATATTGTGTAAATATTTTCAGCACCTCCACTTTCTGACCTGAAGCCTGAGAAGTAAGAAGTGTCTCCCCGGGGGGAGGGGCAAAGCTGGGGACAGTGGCAAGTACATGGCTTTTACATGCAGTGGCCAGGGCTGGAGTGCGGGTTTCCCCCGGGGGCAGAGTTGGAACTCAACCTCAGCCAGGGATCCACTGACAAGACAAGTGTCCAGGGACAACTGGATCCCTGCTGTGAGGATGGATGTGGCCTCTTCCTGGCTGCCCGTGGCTGGCAATCTCCACACCAGCAGCTTTATCTCCCCTGAGAAAAAAATGTTGCTTTCTGCTCTGGATCTGGGAGTGGGCAGAAGTTGTGGAGCCTGTACTCAAGTGACAAGGCAGCCTGACAGCAGGCTGTAAGCCCAAGCTGCCACTTGTCCCTCGCTAGTTTCTCTGGGTGGTTGACTGCTGCCAGCTGTATCATTGTTCTGAAAGAGTGGTAAGTAGTGGCCTAATTATCCCTGGGTGCTGAGTTCCTCCCATGCGAACTCAATCACACCCTCCTTGGAGACGTTCTCCCTTGACAGTGGTTGTCATAATAAATGACACATGCATCGTCTGTGCAGTGGGTCCAGCACGATTCTGCGTGCTCTGCAGCAGCCAGGGGCAGCTGCAATTTCATCACTCCACTCATGTGTGGGAAGAAACAGAGGGGCCAGGGGAGGTGTCTTTCTGGTTCCAGCTGGTGACAGGGCTGGGATTTGAACACAAGAGGTGTGGCCCCTGAGATAAGGAGCTGGCCCCCTGCACGCCCGGCCTCAGCTCCCTGCCTTCATTCATCCTTTCACTTCTCCAGGGCAATGCTTGACTTAAAAACCACGTTGGAGCAAATCAGACTGGCAGCTTCTTTGCACAGAAGGAGCATTTGGTGTCTTCCTCTGATGGTCCCCTCATTTGCCTAAGCAGAACTATATTTCAGCTAATGAAATAGCTCATAATGGCATTTTTCCACATATTGGGCACACACTAACCATTGTGTGTCTTTGATCTCATCTGATGTTCATACAGCTCAGTGGGGCAGCCGAGTGTGGTGGTCCACACCTGTAATCCCAGCATTCTAGGATGCTGAAACAGGAAAACTGCACAAGTGCATACCCAGCCTGGGCGACGTAGCAAGTCTGTCTCAAAATACAAAAGGGCTGGGGAATGTAGCTCCGTGCAAAGGCCCTGTGTTCAACTCCCAGTACTGAAAAAAAAAATCAGTAAAGATATATACCATTATGGAGAAGACCAGAATTGGGGAAGATGATTTTGATGAGATCGCTCAGTGAGTGAGTGGAAAACTAGCTGACCCAGTTTAGAATGCAAGCGCCCGCTGTTGCTCTACACAGCTACACAACAAGATAAAAGACAGTGGAGATACATGAGGTATGTTTGCCCGTCAGTCCCCGTCAAGGGATTTCTTGCCTCAGTGTGTCTCCCAGGGGCTGGCCACAGGCTCACGACGGGCCCTCGGTCTTTCACTTGCTGCAGGTCATTCAAACTGATGTGCTTGTTCAGCTCAATCACTTTGTCCATCCAGAAAATGTCCGTCATTCCGTGATCTGAGAAAATGATGACGTTCAGGCTGTCCTGCAGGCCTCGTTCCTGTAGGGAGAGCAAAGGCGGTCGCTACAGCACCTTCCAAGAGAGGCTCTCTTGTTTTTAAACCACAAAGTATGGGAGAAGAGATATTTTCTCAATTCTGAATTTAATCATCCACCATCTGCCTTGATGAGAAACAGTTCAAATTCACAGCAGAAGCACTTTGGGGAGGGGAAACCTCCCATCCCAATATGTGCAGAAAAATAAGACCAGGCCTTTACCTTTGCAAACCACGCTCCCTGCTTTTATTTTCTTTTACATTTTTAACCAACTTGCATGGTTGTATAAGAACTCTTGTTTGTTCATATTATAGATGTAAACAACGGAAAAGTAAAATAAACACAACATAACAAGGAAACAAAAACTTGCACTTAGTCATTCAGCCAGTTCCCATGTCTGACTCCCTTCTCCAGCCACGCTGGTTACCAAATTTGTTAGGATTCTAAAGAATGGGGTCAGTTTGCCGGCTAGGTCAGGTAGTGAGGCACACAGAGGTCATTCCAATCCTCCCGGCCAGGCTGTGGGATGAGGGGTCTCTTGGACCCTCTGGAGGTGCTCTACGAAGAAGAAACAGCCTTGCACTGGTCTAGTAGGAAGTAAGATGGCAGGGAGCGGCAGTCAAGGAGAAACACAGAGGGATCAGAAAGAATGGCAGCCTCGCTGTCCTTGCTTAAGTCACCTGGATCCACTGTGTCATGTACTTCAGGACAGTGTCCACGGCTCTGAGGGCGTCTTTTCTCTGAGGTGAGGAAGGGCCGTAGTGGTGGCCTTCCACATCGATGCGTTCATGGTATATGGCCACAAGGTCAGCCCGGCCACTCCTGGAGGGAACAGGTAAGAGAGGCATGGCTAAAGGAGACACCTGATGACCTACTCCCTTGTGACCCACCAGCCCTCTGTGAAGCCACTGGCATCCCCCAAAACCCTGTTCTGTGTGCCAGGCAAGGCCCCTCCCTCAAAATGAACCAGCTGGAGGAATACTGAACCAAGACTTGCTAGTTGTGAGCACCTTGGTGACAAAAGTTGGAAAATGTGTCTATTGCCCACCCCCTGTTCTGGCTGTATGGAATTGCTCATCATGTCTCTAAGAGTTGGAGGATGTGCTAACAGGCAGAGGATACTTTTTATAGCTCTACCCTTCCCATCTGCTTTCATTGGTAGGTCATACACCTGGAAGCAATCATTTAAATAACTACTGCTCAATTATTACTGGATTTTAAGGAAGTCTCTAGATAAAACACTAGACTGTGGGTCTAATTGATTGGCAAGATGGGATGTAAATAGGTTAGTGTTTAGAGCCTGACATCAGCAGACATCCCAGAGTGCTTGCTATATGAGGGATACATGAAAGGTTGGCTCTAGTGTGGATATAGAGTGAATTCTAGAGGTAACCACACTCCTATGGGTGCAAAGACTCACCCTCTTGGCTAAAGCATCAATGGTAGGAATTCAAGCTACTTAATCCTCAATGCTGAAAAGCCAGCAATATAAATGGGAGAAGGAAGCTGGTGGAGTGAGGGTGGGGCGAGGAGCACCATGCAATGTACATTCTGACCTGTAACTTCCCACCCCCAGTTATGCCTTTGCTCACTTCCCTGTCCCCCAATAAAGCACCTGAAACAGATCACAACAATGATGATAAAGATGGTGACAAGGATGACAATGATGGTAATAAGAACTAACAAGAAATGAAGCCATGGAAAAGAAATTAAAGGTAATTGCTCTGTTTGGACTTTACAAGAGGTAACAATTAATACCCTTGGCAAATTGAAAAATTTCTCTTAGAAAAATGTTTTAAATACACACACACACACACACTCACACACAAACACACAGTGTGATTTCTGCTGATCATGGCCTCCCCAGAAAACATCTGCGGGGGCTTCATTCCTACCATCCTTACACAGGAAAATAGCCTCGTAGAAATTCAGACAGCTTGGTTTGCCCAACTAGAATTACAGTGCCCGATCCTCCTCTGATTAAGGGCAACTTCGCTTCCTCCAGGAATCTTATTCTGGCATCCCGAGGCCAGGCTAGGTGGCTTTTCTGTGTGTTCCTATTCTGGGCTATGAATTTACATACTGTGCTGTAATTGTCCACTTCTGTGTCCTCTCTCTCTCTAAACTGAGATTCTTTTACTCCAGAGAAAGTGACTTTTTCTCCATTTAATGCACAATAGGAGTCCTCGAACTGACAGTGAACTGTATAATAACAAGTGCTCAGTAAATGGCAGTTACTGGTCTAGTGTCACGGTGCGGTCTTTTATATACATTGTTTTATTAAATCTTCAAAGCAACCTTAAAAGAATTCAGAGTTCAAGACATAGCCAGCATCACAAAGCTAATAGTGGCTGGAGCCAGAGTTCAAACCTGGACCCCAGAATGCAACCACTAAATACTCAGAATTTGACAGCCCACACCAGTGGGGAAATGTTCTACTCAGCTTAAGTGATCTTTTGGAAATGATTCTTGCTATCTTACATGACTCTGACAAACCTCTAGCAAGCCGGGTGTGAGACCGGCAAAAGCAGCTCTGAAACTTGGTCACTTCACTTCGAGACGCATGGTGGACTGTGTATGTAGGTTGACTCTGCCTCCAATATCTAGAGTTCCAGTGAAAAGGCTTTGCATAGGAGAGGATATGCAGATTTTGCCAATGAAGAACTAGGCCTAAGAGGGTCCTAGAAGTTACTGAAGGCCTCACAGATCCTTGAGACGCAGCTAAAACAGGAAATTCAAATCTACTCCAAAGTCAGAACACTTTTAACTCTACCAAACTGCCTGCAAGGGTCTAGATCTACTCCATCATCTAAACCAAGGCCAAACTCCCGAGAATGTTCTGCCTGGCACGTTCCTTCACCTGGTCACGTGCTCTTGAGTGATGCTGTGAGTTTCTATGGGGCACTCAGAGGTGCACTTTATTAAGTTTTTTGAGAATACTTTGGTTTCAAATTAGGGGAAATTATTACTCAAAAGTTCTTTTCTTTTTTTAGAGCAAAACAAATTGACCCCTCATTAATAAATTTCATTACCACCCTTCTCCTCCACAATGTGGATTGGGCGAGGTTATTATTCAGGCACTGCTCAAAATGATATTATCGTTATTCACCTTTGTTAATGTGTGAATGACTAATCCAAACTTCCCCCGCATCCACACACAGTAGAATACAAAAAAGTCACTTTGGGGTCCTTGCAGTATGTAGCGGATAGGTAAGAGTTCATATGAGGAAATGGCATTTTCATCCCTATGCTGAAATTCATTTGAGGCCCACGTGCAGCAGACAGAGAGGCTGATGGCTCTTCCTCCATCACTGTGCTTGGGCAGAATGGAAGCTTCTGCAAAATCTGTCCTACGGAAAAGCCTCAGCATCTGCTTCTTTTATGTACTTGCATCTCTGGCAGTCCAGGTGTGCTGATTCACACAGCACATGATCTGGTTAGATGGCCACACTTTCAGTGAGGGGTTATATGTGGGAAAAGTCCTATTTGATAGAGTGGTAAACGTACTACAATGAGGAGTTTTCACAAACAAGGTTTAATGTGGCATTAATGCTCAGTGGAATCCTTCTAGTTCTCTTCATTTGGACACTTTGGTTTAATGCTGCAGTCACTAGATGAGCTTCCCCAAGGCTGTTTTGCATAGTCACAAATCTCCATGTGATTGGATAGCTAATAAGTATCACAATTTACTTGATGGCTTTGTGTCAGGAAACTCAATCTCAGATGTCTGGAACACGTGATTTGGGATGCTTGCAATTTCAGGGTTGCACAAGCGAAGGTTTCTATGTTAAAGTTTCGTTGATTCACCTAAGTCTCTGAGGGCTCCTGCCTGTATGGAGTTGTGCAGATGAATTCTTATAGGCAGCTGTTTTCCATATGGGCCTGGTCTCCATCACAGGTCAGCTCGTTTGTAACTGTGGGTGAGGAGAGATGGGCAGAGAGGCCTGCAGATCTGCTGTTGGCCATTTACAGCTTTAAGGCAAAAGAACCATGCCAGAAGGACGTGTGGCTGTCATCCCAGTTCCCTGAGACCTGTAGGTGCTTTTAGCCCTGGAGCTTTGGAAACAAGCAAGTCTCCCATCATTTTAGGATTCTGTCCAGATTTCATTGCAATATAAAAGTAGTTCATAATGCCACATCCATTTGCCTGACTGAAGTGGGTTAGAAAGAGAATTAGACAGTGAGAAATGAAGGCAATTTAAAGGAAGAGTTAGTTACTGACAATTAAGGAAAATAATCCAAAACTTACAGATAAGGCCCAAAATGACCACCCATCTTTTCAGTGCCATATTAGAGCACTGGTCATTAAACTTGCTTGAAAATTAGATTAAACTGCTAATTAATGTTCAGACCCTGTAAACGTAGCTGTTAACTGGTAGGGAAGCTGATATGGTGAAAATTATTTTTGTTTGATAGAGAAACAGCCCCCCAAATGACATTGTGATTATCCTCTGTGTTGTTAAGCATTTCTGCATCGCACACCATCGTCTTCCTCATTCCTTTTCTTCAAGCGTATGTGTGTGCATGTGTGCATGCGTGTGTGTGTGTGTGTGTGTGTGTGTGTGTGTATTTCTCAAACTCTCCTAACCAACCTTGTCACCCTCCTGACTCTTCAGTAGTAAATTAATTTGAACCTTGGCATAATTCTCAATCAAAGATGTAGTGAGTATATGACAAAGTTTTAGTTTTGAAAATTAACTTTTGACAGGAGCATTGGAACAGCACAAATCTGCATTCAAATTCTGGTTTTTCTCCTTCCTAGTTAGGTCTTAGAGGAATAGTAGAAGTATCTCCAAACCTCAGTTTTCTCATATGAATGTCTATATTGGATATGAAATGAACTGATGCTTATAAAGATTCTGACATACAGCAAAAGAGAAAGAAGGGGAAGGAAATGCTTCCCTCTTCTCTTTTTCTTCTAGAAGTCCCTATATCACTTCTGTTGAGTGTGTATTTGCAGCAAGAGGGGAACCTGGTCTCTGTGAGCCTGGGCCCATGTTCCCATCTTTCTCAGTCCACAGGGAGGAGAGTCTCAGACCAAGATATTTGAGCTGGCTTCCAGGTGGCTTATGGAGATAACCTCCCATCCCTCTATTCCTTTATTAATACTAGTGGCCACTGAGGTTTTGGGATCCTGAAGGAATTCTTTTGGATCTGTGCTCAATAGTGTGGAGCTTGACAAGGGATGACAGCTGTGTCCACCATTCCTGCAGCCCGGTGGCTCCTTGACCAACCCTTTGATGAGCCTGTGTGGTCAACTTAGAAGCTACTGTCTGGCCCCCTCCATGGAGCCAGGACTCAGTGAGGCTGCCTCACCTGCACTCTGCTTCACCTACCCTAAAACTACTTGTTATGGCTTATTTCAGCCTAAGCACCATGTACCACTTCTTGCCCACTGAACTGTAAATATCCTGCAAGCAGAACCTCCAGGACAATAGATTAAATTATACACATCACAAACTGTCCTCTCTTCGGGCAGTGAGGTGGTAGTATGAACAGCGGTGCTGCCTGCTGAGTACCTGTGTGTAGTGGTACAGTACAAAGTGCACCAGGTGGCTGCATGCACTGAATGCATAAAATACCAAACAGACTGCAAAGGCCTCATCCACTTTGACCCCGCAGGAGTCCCAGGCCCAGGGTAGTGCCACAGTGAACAGGAAGGTGGTTCTCAACTTCCTCTCTGGTCTGGTTTTCCTTTAGTAAGTGTTAGAAGTCTGGTTGTCGCTGAGAGTGGTGGCACATGCCTGTAACCTAAGCACTCAGGAGGCTGAGACAGGAGGATTGTTGCAAGTTTGAGGCCAGACAGGGATACAAAGTGAGTTCAAAGCCAGCCTGAACTGTGTAATGAAACCTTGTCTCAAAAATAAGTAAAATAAAATAAAATAAAGTGAAAAAAAGGAAGTCTGCTTGAAGATCAGCTTGAAGGAATGAAAGTTGTTTTTCAGTCACTTCTTCCCACACAGGATGGGCCCCAGGAGGTAGGATGCTAAGCCTGTGTGGAAAGCGCTGGGTCCTGGCTCTCCAGCCCCCTAGCTTGTGAGAGTCAGGCCAAGGTATTTAACCCTCAGAGCCAGTGGTCTCTTCTGTAAAACGAGGAGGACAAGAGCTATGTATTATAATGGAAGCCAGAACAGAATGCATTAATAGAAATAGAGCCCCTTGTAGTGCTGGCAGATGGGTATTAAAAACACTCATTCTTGTCCTTTCTCCTTCTCTATGCTAACTAAATATCTAAGTTCAAAGACAGCATCTGACACAATGTGACTGGGGACAACAAGGCTGAGCACCGGAAAGCAATGGCCAGGTCAGATGTGGGCAAGGGTGGCTGCCTCCTGCAGAGGCGTGTGCGGCTTTGTGACCCGCGTGGACCTTCTGCAGAAATCACCCTGGTAGGACTGGCACGTCCTGCTTTCTGTCAAAGCCCACCTACCCTGTGTTCCATGTGGACAAAGGAAACTTAGAAGCAGTACTGACTCAGAGAAACATGTGTACGCGTTCAGACACTTACATCTGAAAATTCAAACTCTTCTTCAAATTACAACTAGGAATTTGAGATAGGCGGTATCTAGGCATGGTGATGCACACGCGTAAATCCAGCACTCTGGAAGACAGGCAGGAGGACCCAAGTTTTATGGTAGGGCAACTTAGCAACTTGATGAGACCCTGTCTTAAATTTATTTTAAAATTGGCTGGGGATGTAGCTTAGTGCAAAGTCCCTGGGTTCAATCCCTAGTAATGCAAACAAACAAAACCTCTCAAAACTCAGGAAGTGAGCCAATAGCCTTCTAGACAAGCTTCTCCACTTAGGGCTATATTATAAAAAGATAACTATTACACAATTTTATCTAAACACACACGCCATGAGAATTATGACTCCTCTGAGCCACATTATTGCTTGCACAAGCTGCCACTTGCAGAACAGACTGGATTATTCTAGGCTGTTCTAGGTCATAGCTATCACCTACTTTGCTCCTAAATAGGACAGAGGTTAAACTTATTTTTAAAGGAAAATACTGACCCCCAACCATCAGTCTATCTTGTATAACGATAATGAGAAATCTTCTAATAATGCATAAATTGGTTGAAGAAAGTACTTCTTTTTCTCTAGGGAGGGGCCTAAGTTATCTTACTGCCTTTCATGGCAGTATCCTCTGGCTTATTTTTCTTCTTGTCTTCTCTCATTTTAAGGACTGCCTAGTTTTAGAGATGATGGATCTGTATCTTTTCACTTACTATTCAAAGAGGCTATTTCTGGTGTCTCTGTTAACTTAACCAGTTGAAGATCCCATAAGGTAATGGGTTTGGTTTAGTTCTGCTCAGGCCTTCACTGCCCAACTGCAGGGGCATCACTCATATAGCAGACTATGTGAGTGGTGTTTTGTGGGGCTCAAGGCCATGTGCTTTAACTACAATGTTAATGGTGCTGGGTTGGGCAACTTAGTTCCACCCTGCACCATGTGGAAGGTTATCCTGGGATACCTCTCTATATCTGCAGTTCTTTGCAGCCTTTTCTGTCTAAAGGAAGCCAATGCCTTTGCTGCACACACACACACACACACACACACACACTACCCCCATCATCTCCACAACCACCACTGCCACCTCCACCAGTACTACTACCATCACTAAGAAAACCCTTCCTTTTTCCAAGGTAAAGACGCAATTCCTCATCATTCTATGCCTTCATCGTATTGCTTGAAAAAGAAAAACAAAAGCACAAGAACAGCACTTCCTCAGAGGAAGGAGAGCCCAGCACTTATCTCTCAGGCATTCTGGCGTCCCTGAAGATAGGGCAATCTGCTTGTCAGCCAAAGCTGACCTGAGACTCTCATGGCTGTGCGCCCCCTGCTTGTCTACATGTGAATCGCTGCAAAGAGTCCGTTCTTCTGGCGAGGCAGGATGCATGAGAGAGATGACACCGCTACAGACTGTTGTTATTTGATAATCCGTATTTTCATATCTGGCATAGCAAAGGCGGCAGAGAGAACTAGCACTTCGGTTGTGCTGGGACCGGACTCAGGGAGACATAGAACGATCCCAAAGTTCCAGCTATGCTCGTTTGCTGTACGTACTGTGCTCTTCTGCTTTGCTTGCACAAACTAGACCATAATACAATTTCCCTGATCATTCTATGAATGGCTTCTGAGTCCTTGCGGGCAACAACAAGAAAAAAGAGTAGGTAGCAGGCAGACCCACAAAACATGTGATTTATAAATCATGGAAGAGCATTTATTGAAAGGCTGTTTTCCTCAGACTCTGCCCCTTCCCTCTCCTCACAAAAGATAAACCTTTACATTTGTTACTTCTCAATCTTTTAAGCATTTTAAAATAACTTTCCTTCCAACCTGTCAATTGCGGCATGAGCCGTTAGGTATCCTAAATGCCCCTTTTGAAAGATTTCATGGAAGTAGAATATTTTAAGAATCAGTGAAAGCAGCGGTCTTGTTTTTCTCCCTCGCTAGTTCTACGGGGGTAACTGCAGCTCAGCACGATGGACGGGGGCAGAAGGGGAAATGAAACAATAGGGGTCCGTAAGTGTCACCTTTGTGTCTGAGTCAGTCTTAGTGTGACCCACTCACGTGTTCAGTGCTAGTGATCAGCACACCAGCTTGACGTATCTAACGCTCACAGAGTTCCCCTTGGAGGATACGCTCCTTCTTTTGTGAATATGAGGGTCCTGCCCTGGCCTCCACACTCTAATTACTCTGAGTGCTCTGCCTTAGAAATCCACTTAGCAGTCATGGTGATTTTTACTCTCTCCTTGGGCGTTTGAGAGCCACCACCCCCCTCAGCTTTTTGGTTACTGAGTTCTCACGCAGACTCGCAGCTGGTTTCCTATCTTGGAAGAACGACAGACTCTTTAATAAATGGTACTGGAAAAGTTGGCTTGCCACCTGTCAAAGACTGAAAATAGACCCGAGACTATCACCATGCACCAAACTCAAGTCAAAATGGATCACAGATCTCAGTATTAAAACAGAAACACTGAATTTATTGGAAGAGAAAGTAGGTAAAAACCTCGAAGACATAGGGGTAGGCAGAGAGTTCATGAACAAAAACCAAACTGCCCGTGAAATACTTCAAAGAATCAACGACTGGGATCTCATTGTACTGAAAAGTTTTTGCCCATCTAAAGAAATCACCAGCAGAGTAAAAAGCAAGCCCACAAATTGGGAAAAAATTTTAGCTGACTGTCCCTCGGACAAAGGTCTTCTATCTAGAACATATAAAGAATTAAAAACATCAGCCCCCCGCAAATTCAAAGACCCAATCCAAAAATGGGCAGCTGAGATGAATACACATTTCTCAGATAAAGAAATACAAATGGCAAATAAATACATGAGAAAGTGTTCAACATCATTTGTCATTCAAGGAATGCAAATTAAAACAACTTTGAGATTTCATCTCACCCCAGTAAGAATGGCTAGCATTAAGAAATCAACCAATAACAAATGCTGGCGAGGCTGTGGAGAAATAGGAACTTTTCTCCACTGCTGGTGGGAATGCAGACTGGTGAAGCCACTGCGGAAATCAGTTTGGAGATTCCTCAGAAAACTAGGTCTAGAGGTCCCACTCAACCCAGCTATCCCCCTTCTGGGTATTTCCCCAGAAGATCTGAAAACATCATATCACAGCCTTATATGTGCACTCATGTTCACAGCAGCGCAATTTGTAATTGCTAAATTGTGGAAGCAACACAAATGTCCATCCACTGAAGATTGGATAAAAAAATTGTGGTACTTTTATATAATGGAATATTACTCAGCTATAAAGAAAGATAAACTCAAGGCTTTTATAGGTAAATGGTCACAACTAGAGACCATACACATAAGTGAAATAAATCAGACTTTCATGTGTAAGCATTGTATTGTCTCACTAGAGTAAGACCTGAAAGAGTGAATAAAAATTAGAAGGTATGATAGACATTATGAAATGAAAGGAAAATGCTCAAAAGTAAAGGGCAGCTGGGGTGTGGGAAACGAGAAGGGAAAGAAGGGGAAATTATGTAAGTATGTAGAGATAGGATAGCTAACATAGTTATACTTCTGTCTTCTATTACTCTACAGAAAGGAACAGTTAATAATTACTTGTTTGATCAATCTTTTATGTCTCTGTTTTCCTGAGAAACCACTTCGAAGATATCAGTAATAATACAACAACCATGGTTAATTTCCTACAACTATGTCTGTAACTCTGTTTTGTTTGTATTGTTCTTATGCTATTTTATAAACAGATGTCTGTTTGTTAATATGTTTTCCTTCTTTTATTTTTTAAAATAAAAAAGATTCATGTGTGCTATTTGGAACAGCAGTACTAATTTCTGCATTTTCAAACCTTGTGTTATTGTTCTCCATCGGAGAAAAAAAGGTCCTGTGTTCTGATACACTAATGTGCTGCATGTATTTCTGAGAAGAAGGTAGACGAACAAGCAATTTTCCAAACTTATTTGAGTATACATCCTCCCTTTTGCTAAATACTTCTTGATATCTTTTGATAGCACTGTTTGCTAAAGTATGATTAGGAAAGCGCTAGCATTTGTTGTGCTTTTCCATTGTCCGACAGCATAGAAAAGGAAGTCCTAAACCCCTGGGGATTTTCTTGCTCTCAGTTGAACATTTCCAGAGTTCCTTGCCCAAAATACTTAATCATAATCATTTCTTCTCAGCAGTTGACAATATTTATGTTATTGGGTTACCAACTCTTCAAGACATGATTTCACCTATATCAGGCCCTCCTGATTCACCTTAGGATCCATTATTGGTCCTGAAACAAGAACAGTGGGATGGCTAAGAATTTGGAACACTTACTTGAATGAGTCAAGAGCATCACTGACTGCATTGGCAAAATTGATATCCGTTGGGACATTTTTATATTCTAGGCAATAAGTAGGTCTGACACCAAGAATCTCAACCTCACAGCCTAAGAAAGAAAAAGATGGCAAATGGTTACTCTCTTTAATATTTGATGGAGGGTCCTGAGCCTATTTCAGGAAGCAAACATAATTAGTCAAAATAAAATTTTTGTACATTTCCTTGAACTAAATTAGTTTATTGCTGATAGGTGGTGTATTTAATTGCAATTTTGCTTAATTGGAGGAGAAGAAATTCTTTTTTTTTTTTTTTTTTTTTTTTTTGGA